AGTTAATCTATTAAATAGAGATAGTAAGAATATCACTTATAGGGCCATTGTGAGGATTAAGTGAGATAATGTATATAAATTGTTTACCACAGTTCTGGGAAAATAATAAATTCTCCATAAATCTGAACTATTATTTATATTATACAATTCCCAAAGCCAGTTTATGGCTCTAACACAAGGAAGCCATAGCTGATTGGAGAAAAATGCCTGCTGGACTTATTTTTTTATGGGAGTGGAAGGGAGGATATATCCAAAAGGATTTTGGGTTATGATTATTTCTTACATTGCATACATCTACACCCTCATCTGACCCTTCCTATGTTACAGTATTAACAATCTTTATTACCATAAGGCTTTACTGTTTGACCATCTTAAGGCCCAAATCATGGAGATTCCAACCTTGGTATGAAAGAGAGAACTTTAAGATAATTTTTTAATTCAAATGGTGCCTAACTTCAGAAATCAGATTTGTGAACATTTTATAAGGTGTTTTCTTAAAAATCTCAATATTGTCTTTACTGTACCTTTTCGGCAAGGCTGAAACAACAACCGATTGAAAGGATGAGGCCAGGGAACTAACACTGTCTAAATGGGGACAGCGAAGATGTCGTTTATTGTGACATGGTTTTCCTTAACATATCTTATAATTATCTATTATCCATCCCCAAGTTGAGATTCTTGAATTAGCTCTTCTTTAATTTTAGAAATTGTAATGGAAATTTCTTGGTAAATGGGTGGCAGACACTTTGCACACAAAGTTACTGAAACAAAAAGGTAATAGGCGAATTCTGATATCATTTTGAGATTGTTTTCAATCATTTTTATTTTGATAATGAGAGCTTGAGAGGTTTGCAAAAGCAAATTTTTTATAGTCATTATTTTTTCATTAACCACTTAATTTCTGTTTGCCTTTCCAGTGTCGATTACTGAGAACATGAATAAAAATTTGTCATTTAAATAAACCAGGTGCACAAGGATTTCAATTCTCCTCCTATTATACATTACAGCAGGCAAGTAGTTAAGAGTTTTACAAAAAAAAAACCATGAGAAATTGTAAATATTGTTTGCAAACTATAATGAGCTTGCAATGAAATCCCTAGTTAAACACAACATTCCAATTATCTCTAAAATTGTGCTGCTGTGTTATTATCATTGAAGGTGATATTCAAAAAGTATAAAGCCATCTCTGTGATTCCACACATGAACGTAAATTGGATGGTGTCTACATGTGAATATGTACTTTATTTACACTGTTGTGTGAGGCCAGCCACTGGACAATGGCCAGCAGATGTCTTCAAAATGCGTTACATCTGTTCTTACTAATTAATTCACCTTGCAACATGCACAGTGGTTGGGAAGATTGGCAGCAAGGCATGTGATTGCTGTTTATTATCAAGTTTATAACATATGAATAAACAAACATAATCTAAAATAAGTGTCATAATCTTAGTAATCATTTCTAAATATTACATAGAAATGTTCACATAACTATCAGAGATGATGGAAATGGTAGGGTTGTGATTTTATGTTCCCGATTCCTCTCCCTGATATCATCAAGCGTTTACTCTTTCAACTTAAGACTGATGTTTGATTTATTGTTTTATTTTAATTCTCTTTCATACTTAAAAGAAATTCTTTTATCATAAAATTTAATATTTTATATTTATAGGCACTAGGAATTCAAAGACAAAGGTAGTTCCTCTCTGACTATCAGAGAAGGAAATCTAAAGACATTTCAATTAATTTAATAGAGGTTTATTAAACATCTACTATGTGACAGAATCTGTTCTAGGTACTGAGGATTCAACAGAGACAATGACTAATAAAAATCTCTGCTACCATGGAACTTTGGTTTTAGTAGAAGGTGACAACAAGCAAAGTGCATCAGTAATTCATATAGTATGTGAGAAGGTACAAGTTCTATAGAGGAAGTTTTATCAGGGACCGTGGAAAGGAAAGACTTGTAAATAGAGTGATCAGGGAAAAAAGATTTGACAAAGTGACATTTGACCAGACTTAAAAGAGGTACAGGAGAAAATTATGCATATATCTGAAGGAAATGTCCAGATATATGAAGTTGCAAGTTATAGTCTCTGAGGCAAAGGAATGCAAGGAGCTAGTGGGGCTGGAGCAGAGTGGAAAAGAGTAACATATGATATTGGAAGTGTCATAGGATGAGGAGAAGTCCACTGTAAGCCATTGGAAGGTCTTTTCCTTTTTCACTGAGTGCGATGGTCTTCCAGGGCTACCGTAACTAAATACTACTGATTGATGACTTAAACAGCACACATTTGTTTTCTCACAGTCTTGGAGGCTAGAAATCCAAGGTCAAGGTGTCCTTAGGGTTGGTTTCTGGTGAGACCTCTCTTTCTGACTTGCCCACAGCCGCTGTCTTGCTGTGTCCTCACACGGCCTTTCTTCTGTGTCCACAAAGAGAAGGAGAGAGAGAGACCTCTGGTGTCTCTTCCTCTTCTTATAAGGACACCAGTCCTATCAGTTTACAGCCCTGCCCTTATGACCCTATTTAACCTTAATTACCTCCTTAAAGGCCCTGTCTCCAAATATAGTCACATTGGGGGTTAGGGCTTCAACGTATGAATTTTGTGGGGACACAGTTCAGTCCATAACATTCTACCCTCTGTCTTTCCCCCAAATTCATGTCCTTCTCACATGCAGAATACATTTAACCCATCCCAACAGCTCAAAAGCATCAATTCCAGGTCCCAAATCTCATCTAAATATCACCTAAATCAGGTTTGGGTGAGACTCTAATATGGTTCATCCTGAGGCAAAATTAGTCTCCAGCTATGGATTTGTAAAACCAGACAAATATTCTGTTTGCAAAATACAGTGGTGAAACAGGCATAGGCATTTCCATTCCAAACGGAAGAAATTGGAAAGAAGAAAAGGGTGACAGGTCCCAAGCAAGTCCAAAAGTTAGCAAGGCAAATTCCATTAGGTCTGAAGGCTTGAGAATAATGCTTTCTGGCTGTATGCTTTGCCCCTGGGCCCCCAGGGGTTGCATTTTCACCCCCATAGACCTAGGCTTCCGCCCTGGCCCCTTGTCACTTTGAGATGGCCCCACTCATGTGGACCTTTGCAGAGTCAGCCTGACCCACTAAAACCCAGGAGGTGGCCGGCTGATTAAATCCATGGGTAATCTCCTTATGGAGTGATTATCCAGCCACATCCTTCTTGTTCTTTCCAAAACAGACTTTCTCATTTTTTGCAATATAGTAGGCTGAGAATTTTCCAAATCTTTAAGTTCTTTAAGTTTTGCTTAACAATTCTTTCTTCAGTTCCCCTCTCTCATCTTGATTTTACTGTAAGTAGTAAGGAAAACCTAGCTGTACCTTCAACACTGGCTTAGAAACTTCCTTAGCTAAATATCTAAGTTCATAGCTTGTAAGTTCTCCTTTCCACAAAACAATAAATCACAATTCAGCCATATTCTTTGCCACTTTATAACAAGGCTAGCCTTTCCTCCAGTTTCCAATAACATGTTCCTCATTTCCATCTGAGATCTTACCAGAAGCACTTTTAATGTTGATATTTCTACTACCATCTGTTTATGATTACATATGCATCCTCTGAAGTGATAGGGCCTTTCGGTATAGCTCTCCTTTTTTCTGTCTGAGCTCTTAGCAGAATCACCTTTAGCATCTATATTTTGACCAACAACACAATTTGGTCCACAACAGATGGAAAACTATTGGAATGCTTTGAGCAGAATAGTAATGTGATCTGACTTATTATATTAGGATTACTGTGGCTTGAATGTTGAGAATTGATCGCAGGGGACAGGAATGGCAACAGGAAGAGCAGTGAGGAGGCTCTGAACACAAAGTCAAAAAGAGTTGCTGTTATTGGATGTAGAATGTTAAAAAAGGAGAATCTAAGGGGAGCTTAAAGGATTTGGGTTTGAGCAAATTGGAAGCAACAGTTATCGTTAATTGAGATAAGGAGGGCTGACAGCTTAGAACATTTGAGTGGGAGTAACAAGAGTTCTTGTTTGAGGTATATGTTAGGCACCTAGGTGGAGATGCTAAGCAGGCAATTGTATATTTGTGCCTACAATTCAGCAGAAAGACCTGGGAGAGATCTGTGTCTGTAATTCAGGGGAGAGTTGTCTGCTTTTGACATGGTATTTAAAATCATGAAATTTGATGGGATTACTAAAGGAATAATGTAGGGAAAGAAGAGGCCCTAAGATCCATCCTGAGATGCTCTAACATCAGGAGGCCAGGGAGATAAGAAGGGCCAGCAGAGCTGTCTGGGATGAAAGGCCAATGAGGGAAAAACCAGGAGAGTGTGATATCCTGGAAGCAAAGTGAGGAAGTATTTCATGCAGAATAAAATGAGCAACTATGTCAAATGTTGGCAAATAGATCAAGTAAAAGGAGGACTGAGAGCTGGCCACAGGATTAAGCAACACATGTTATCGTGAAGTAATGAGAGAGAAGGTAATGCAGAGGAGCATTGGTGCCGGAAGTGTAATTAAAGCGAAAGCAAGAGACAGGATGTTAAGACAATTGGGACCACAAGTATAGACACTATTTTGAGTTTTATTGTAAAAATGATGCACTATTTGGAGAAGGAAGAGGGCTCAAGACATTTTGTATTGTCATTTTCCTATTTCATTTTTTTAAAGATTGCAGAAATTACAACACATGTTATAGAAATGACCTAATAAAGGGGAAACACTGGACTATGTAGGAGACAGCAGGAGAGTTAATGTAATGAATCCCTTGAGTCGTTGAAGGCAACGGGCTTAGTGAGGGCTGGGCCTGCACAGGAACAGAGGGACATCTCTGTTAACAAGGAAGAAGGCAGAGCAGATGGGCACAGAGGATTGCATGTGGAAAGAAAGCAAATGATTTGGATTGAAAGTGGAATATGAGGATGTGAGTGGTTTGTTATGGGCATAAAGAACGGGGATGGGGAGAGAAGCAAAGTAGGATTTTTGAGCACCTACAATATATCAGACTTTCTGCCAATGATTAAGAACGCAGATCAATACAAGATCTTTTTCCCCACCATCAGGAGACCCACAGTCTAATAAGGCAGACAATTGAGGATATAGGTTCACTAACGCAGAGTACTAAGTGTCTTAATATAGTAGCTGCAGCTTCTTACATAAAGTGTGCCTACATCCCTGCTGTGAATGCACTCATGGGCACAGTCACAAGTCAAAAGGGACTTTAAGGGCAGGGTACCAACTCTCTTCCCCACCTCTATGAGCTGCGAGAGTTTCTCTATACAGTGTGCATCTCTTCTCTTCAGGGTTTGTCTTATAAATCTCTAATGTTTCTCTTTTCTGGCTTTATAGCCTTGGAGACAAAAACTAGGCTTAAGTCAGATCAGCTCAGTTTGAATCCTAGATTCCCAGTTAACAGCAAAGTGATCTGAGCAAGTGAATGAACTTGCCTCAGTCTCCCCAACAGCAAAATGGAAATCATAATGTCTCACATAAATGTTGTGGAGATGGAATTCTTTAATATGTAGAAGTGCTGAGAAGAGTGCCTGGCACACAATGAACGCGCAATCAATATTAGTTGTTATATATCCTCTTCTTTTATTGCATGTTATTTTATTTCATATTTTCCATACAGTGTCTTAGCTTTATTGTTGCCTTTCTTTTTCATGATCTTTTTCTTACTCTTTAGTAGGAGTTTATTTCTTTATATTTTCCCTGTGCATCTTTCCTTTCTCATTTACGATGATTCCTCACCATGAGCTTTCTCTGTAAGACCATGTCTGGGTTTTTTCCGGTTGCTGTGTATCTTTGGGCTAAATGTGGGCACTCTGCTTCACTGAGTCTGGTTCTACCCTCTGAATGGGCTGCAGTCAGTGGCAATATCAAAAAGTCAGTCCTAGCTTCAGGGGGCCGGCTTCTCCGCAGCTCTGGCTCCCACCAGCTGTGCTCTGTTGGCTTTATCTGAAGAGAGAGCACCCAGGTGTGGAAGGGTGTGACTGTTTGGCACTTTGTGTCCTTTAACGTTGACCATCGATTGGCCGATGTTAAAGACACATATCCCTTTTTTTAGGATGAGCAATGATACCTAATGAAAAAAGCATAGAGATTTTATACTTGAGCATGTTATACAACTAGATACTACAGCAATTCAGGTTAAGCAAAAACAATCCTATTTATTCATTCTAAAGATGTTTCATAAAGACAATCAGCACAAATAGAAAATGTTTGGCAAAGTTTCTCCTGAAGGCTGCCTAATCATAGAAGACGAGGAGCCAGTGCCCAGAGAGTGTTATTAGAAGGAAATAAAGATAACAAAGTAAATTAAGAGAAACGTATACATTATTCAGAATCATTTGAAATTTCAAAAACAAAAACCAACAGAATAACCAGAACATGATTGCTGAAGCTATTCAATGCAAGAGTATTTAACGCTAATTCTATAACGCTAACATTTATCAAGTATATAATTCATGCCAGGAGTGTTCTATTTCTGTATATCTATTATCTCATATATTCTTACCAAAAAAAAAGTTCCCACTATTGTGTAGATTCTATACTTATCCCAATTTTACCAGAAGATACCAAGGATCATAAAATTTAAGTCATTTGTTCAATGTCAAATACACAGTAATCAACAGAGTTTCAAGGCAGCCTACCTCCAGAGTAGATGGCCTTAAACTGTATGTGGGACATTTTTAACATGAGTCTTAGTACCGTGTTCACTGGCTTAGATCTTTATGTAGCAGGCAGCATGTTTTATTGTACCAAACACTGGATGTGACCCAGTCTTGCCACTTACTGTCTATGTGTTCTCAGATTTTAATAATTAATAATTATTCTCAAATGTTGATAATTAGGTTAGTAATTCCTAATTCATAACATGACTGTAAGAAATAAAGGAAGTAATGGATGTGAAGTGCCTAGCACAGTGTTTCCTGCATACTAAGTACTCAAGAAATATTTTCTTCTCTGCTTTAATATTTCCATCTGTCTTTCTGCAAATAATGCTAGCTTGTCTGAGGTCCCTTCTTCTCTTTAATGATACAAAACCTTTCTTCCACCAACTGACAAATATTTAATGAACCCCAATTATATAAGTGCCTTTTGTAAAGATTACTAACCCATGGTCCCTATACTTCGGACCCCAATAGTCTATCTCAGGCTCCTATATAAAACCTATGGCTTTTAGAAAGTTCCCTAGCATTCCAGGCAAAGAGCTCCTCATCTCTTCCAGAACTTAATTGATATCCCATTATTGGGTGCTGAGCAATTTGCTTCCTCTCTTTGTGGTATCTTTTTGTACTTGCATGGCCCCTGGCTCGCAAGGAGATGGTAGGGGGTGACGTCTGCCTTGTGTAAATGAGCACAAGGCCTTGTATACGATGATATTTACCAACTTTCTGACGGATAAAATTAGCGAAGTATTTTTCTACTCTGAAATTCATTTTCTTCCAACTAATGTGCCATTCTTCATTGTATTAAAACAAGCAACTTGGTGACTGTGTTGAAACAAGCAACATCCACATTGTTTGAACCTCTCTTCTGGCTTTTAATCTCACTTCATTTTCTAGATTATTTAAACATGACGAAAAGTCACAATATCAACATTGTTTTTGGATGGATTGAAAAAGAGCAATAACTATAGCTATCATTCCAACCAAAATCAAGGAGAAAAAAATGTAGTTGGTGATAATGCTGTACGTTGACAGAGCATCTTCTTCTCAATAGCACCTTGCACACTTCCCGAGGAGATGTGGAAATATAGGACTCCTGCAGCCTTGACTGAAACGTGGCCTAGGCTCTCAATGCCTCCTGAGACGGGGGGTGGAGAGCACATACAGAGGGCATCCACACACTTGGAAGGAAAATTGTGAATGTGTGTGGTGGCCAGGGCAGCAGATTTGGTGGGAATTCAGGCCAGCCGAACGTTTAGCAGTTAGAGTTTAGAGCCATGTTAATATGCAGTCAGGAGAGAGCAAGGTTAGTATCAAGGTTGCTGCAAAAGCGAGATTTTTGTGACCAAAAATTGGTTTATCTGACACCTATGTGTGCACACAGAAATGCACCATTTCTCCAGGGCTGACTGAAGCTTTTGAAATGATCCCCAAAGGCTATTGTGGTCTAAATTACGGCTGCTCTTTCTTTCACAGTACCTGTATACCATCGAACAGGACGCTGCTCCCCTCCTGATGGATGTGAACTTCCAGTTTCCAAATAGTTTTGTGAAAGTGTATCTTTTTCATGCCCCCTTTGCCTCAATCCATTGACCTGATGCTTGGTGACAGACACCGTAGAATGTACTGGAAATGAAGCCAATAAAATATTAATGTTTTTTCCTTGATTTTGTATGAAATTTTTTTCTTATATTTCTTTTGTTTAATTATTTGTTTTTAGGAAGATTAATTTGAAGATATCCTGAAAGATAGGAAATGCATGAAGGAGAAAGGAATTATTAGAGAGAAGATTGTGTTTATAAGGCTGGAAAATGATGAATGCTTTTGGTTCAGTTTAATGGATTTCATTATTATTAGTAATAACAGTTAATATTTGAGATTTTTGTCTCACTTTCTCTTAAAGCGATTTGTATTAGTGACAGCCAATATCTATGTGGCATTCACTTTATAAAGCTCTTCCTTCATTCAAGCATCACGTCTCATTTACAGGTTCACAACAACCTCAAGAAATAGGGACTCTTTTAACCTAGATTTTGTTTAAATTTTTAATTTTTTTTGAAATTTGAAAAATACAGATAACTTAAAATAATATCGACATCAATGTACCAATGCAGGATTTTAACCATTTATAATATTGATTTACTTCACCTACAAAAATGGAAATAATATATTAAAAAAAGCTAAATATTTACTCCTTCTGTTCCCTCCAATGATTCCTAGCTGTAACTACTCTAAGTCAGTGCATATCCTTCCTATACATGTTTTTTTGTTTTATTATGTATGTGTAAGCATAATAATTTGAAGAATATTTTAATATATTTTCAGGATTTTCATAAATGGTATCACACTTTCATAGTGCACAATTTTCCCAATTGATGGTTTTTTTCATAAAACGTGTTATTTTTGGAATTTTATAAAATCGATAAATATAATTTTTATATTAAGACTATTTTTAAGAGCAGTTTTAGGTCACAGCAAAATTGAAGGGAATGTACAGATTTTCCATATGCTCCCTGCCCCCACACGTGCACAGCCTGCTCCATTATCAACATCCCCCATCAAGGTGACACATTTGTTACAATGAATGAACCTACATTCACATATCATAATCACCCAAAGTCCATAGTTTACATTACAGTACACTCTTAGTGTTGTACATTCTGTTGGTTTGGAAAAATGTATAATGACACATATCCATCATAATTTACAGAGTATTTTCACTGCCGTAAAAATCCTCTGTGCTCTGTTCATCCCTCTTCCCACTCACTTAACCGCTGGCAACCATTTGTCCTTTTATTGTCTCCATATTTTTGCCTTTTCCAGAATGTCACGTAGGTGGAATCATACTATATGTAGCCTTTTCAGATTGCCTTCTTTCACTCAATAATATGCATTTAAGGTTTTAAGGTTCCTCCATGTCTTTTCATGGCTTAATAGCTCATTCCTTTTTAGCACTGAAGAATATTCCATCATCTGTAAGTACCACAGTTTATTGATCCATTCACCTACCAAAGAATAGCTTGGTTACTTCCACGTTTTGGCAATTATGAATAAAGATCTATAAACATTTGGGTGCAGGTTTTTGTGTGGACGTAAGTTTTTACTCCTTTCCGTAAATACCAGCGAGCACAATTCCTGGACCATGTGGTAAGTAAGAGTATGTTTAGCTTTGTAAAAAAGCGCCAAACTGCCTTCCAGAGTGGCTGTACCATTTTGTGTTTCCACCAGCAATGGTTGAGTGTTCCTGTTGCTCCACATCCTCAGCAGCATTTGATGTTGTCAGGATTCCAGATTTTGGCCATTCTAATAGGTGTGTAGTGGTATTTCATTGTTGTTTTAATTTGCATTTCCTGGATGACATATGATGTGGAACAGCTTTTCATATGCTTATTTGCCATCTGTATACTTCTTTCGTGAGGTGTCTATAAGGTCTTTGGCCTATTTTTCATTGTTTTCTTTTCTTATTGTTGAGTTTTGAGTTGTTTATCAAATGTGTCTTTTGCAAATATTTCCTACCAGTCTGTGGCTTGTATTCTGATTCTTGACATTGTCTTTCACAGAGCAGTAGTTTTTAATTTGAATGAACTCCAGCTTATCAATCATTTCTTTCATGGATCATGCCTTTGGTGTTGTGTCTAAAAAGTCATTGCCATGCCCAAGGTCATCTAGATTTTCTCCTATGTTATCTTCTAGGAGTTTTATAGTTTTGTATTTTGCATTTAAGTCTGTGATGCATTTTGAGTTAATTTTTGTGAAGGGTGCAAGGCCTGTGTCTAGATTCACATTTTTCCACATGAATGTCCAGTTGTTCCAGCACCGTTTGTGGAAAGACTGTCTTTGCTCCACTTTATTGCTTTTGCTCCTTTGTCAAAGTTCAGTTGACTATATTTATGTGGATGTATTTCTGGGCTCTCTATTCTGTTCCATTGACCTATTTGCCTATTTTTTTTTTTACCACTGATCATCTTTTGGCACTCATCATTTTATTTTTTGGAATAGTCAATATTGATAAACCCAAATAAAGCATTTTGTCTGCAGTTCAGGATTTTATTGTATAACCTAACAGTTTATAAATGCATGGACATTTAGGATTTGTCCAGATTTTGCTTTTTCAAACGATATAATCTTTGATAAACTTCTTGTGCATATGTGAAATTTTCTCTAGCACAGAGGTTCTCAATTACAGATGCATGATGAAATCATCTGGGAAGGTTTTGAATATTCTATAGAGATGGCAATTCAGTTTGTCTGGAGTAGGACCCATGCATTGGAATATTTTAAGAACATCCCAGGTGATCCTAATGTGCATCCAATTTTGAGGACCACTAATCTTGTCTAGGGCAGTGCTTCTCAAACTTTGATGTGCATATAAATTACCTAGAGATCTTGTTAAATTGCACATTTTTCTATGGTAGATCTGGGTGCACCTGATATTCTGCATTTGTAACAAGCTCCCAGGTGATGGAGGACCACACTTTAAAGTAACAAGGCTTGAGGATATGTAAATACTTGGGAATGAACTGGTGGAGCTATATGTGCAACTTCAGTTGTATTAGCTGTTTTCAAATTGTTTGCAGATTTATATTGCCTTCATCATTGTATGATATTTCATTTTCTGAAATCCTCCTTACCTTGGTATTATCTACTTTTTAAAGTTTTGCCAGTATTATGGATTTGAAATAGTGTTCTTTTAATTTAAATTTTCCTATTAATGACATTTTACTTTTTGTCAAACAATTGGCCATAAAAGTTTTCTCTTTTATGAATTTCTTATTCATAGCCCCTATCCATTTTTACTAGCCTGTTCTTTTGTTTTGAACTTATTGACTTGTGGAAATTCTTTACATATTAAGGATACTAATCTTTGTTTACATTCATTATAAATATCTCCTACAAATCTGCAGCTTCACTTAAATTTGCTTATGGTGTGTCACCCATGCACAAGTATACATGTTTTTATGTTTTAATACAGTCATGCTTATTGATCTTTTTCATTATGGCATGTGTTTTCTGTCTTACCCCTGTCCAACATCAATATCATAAAGTTATCTTATATTTTTTAAACACTTAAATATTTCACTCAATATTTAGTCTTTTAATGTATGTCTAGCTTATTTCTGTACATCATTGTGAGGTCAGAATCCACTTTTATATTTTTCTAAGGTAGCCCTTTGTCCTAGCACAACTGATTGAATTGTATGTTCTTCCCTGATTTGTAAGATTCCACCTTCAAAACCTCTGTGTGTGTATTCTGTGTATTTTGTGTGATTTGTGTGTATCACTTTTATTCTGGTCTGTGTTTTTAACCACCAGAGTTTTATAATTTGTCTTGACAGTCTGCTAGGAAAATTTCCTCTCTTTATTTTTCTTAATCAAAGTTGTCTTGACTGCTATTTGTCTTTTACCCTTCAACATTAATACTAGGTTAATCTTGTTGAACTCTGTGAATAAAAATGGAAGTTTTAATGTAATTTTATCAAATGTGTAGATTTATTCTCAGCAGAATTAACATCTTTTTGTGATCTTGCTTAATTCTCATCAATTTCAATAGTATTTAATTTCTCTTGAATATTCCACAAAGATAATTCTGTAATGTATGACCAATGACTTGTTTGGACCTTTTTTCTAATACTTATGCTTCTAACTTGTTTCCTAATCTTGTTGAACTGGTTAGGAACTCCAGTACAAAGTAAAATAGAAGAAATAAAAGTGAGCTTTCTTATCTTGTTTCAGTTTTAATGGACAAGCGTCTAACACTTCACAATTAAAAATAATGATCATTGTGAAGTTTTGGTAGATTCTTTTAGCCACATTGTGAAAGAAATTTTCTATCCCAGGTTTGTAAGATTTTCCTTATTAATTATAGTATTTTTTTCTTATGTAATGCTTTGTCCATTGACGTGATCATATATAGGTACATATATTTCTTTTTCAGTCTGTTTCAGGGTAGTATTAAGTTAATAAATGTTTGAATAATATCTTCAGTCGTGGAATAAGGAATGATTTTCTTATATATATTTCTAGATTCACTTGATGCGTTCAATATTATGATTAAACATTTTCTGTGTTCATAAGTGAAATTATTTTTCTTGTACAGGCCTTGTCCATATTTAATATCATATTATAGCTTTTTCATAAAATGAATTGGTGATGTTTTCTTTTTATTTTCAGGATAGATTTATAGGTAACAATTATTTCTTTACATTTTGTTTCTTTAATCTTCTTTCGAGTGGGTTATAAAACAGAGATTAGTTTCTTAAATATTGGTAGGCCTTGTCTATAAAACTGTTTGGATATATTATTTATTTTTTGTTAACAAGACATCCAAATCAGCTGTTCATTATAGACAGGCTACATTCTCTAGGAAAGCGTTCTCTATCTTATATTTCTGTCATCTTAAATATGTGATTTCTGATTTCTAAGCCCATGGGCATAGCTGTATGGGTAGAAGTAACTTGTAGGATCATCCATGGGAAGTTTTTGTGAGCCAAGCCTGGAACTAGCATACATCACTTCTGCTCACATTCCATTGTTGAAAATTCAATCATGTGTAACTGCAAGGGATTCTGAGCAACAGAATCTAGTCATGTGCCAAGAGGAGGAAATGAGTTTGGTGAATGATTAGC